AAAGTAGTACCTCTCCACAGAGCCATGGTGTGGCGAAAATTTGATTATTTTTATAAAGCCCTTGGAATAAAGTTACCAATTGAGGCTTAATTATTATCACCACCCATGCCTGAGGACACATCCTACACTCTTGGTTGGGGTGAGCATCTCTGTAAAAGAAAAAAAGCCAAGGACCACTCACGTAGAGCTTTGGTAGCCAAGAAGTCCCTCCCTGCAGGTCTTTTTGAGAATCACGCTGGGGAAGGAGAAAGCTGTGAAACACCCTGATCGCGTTGCCGGCCCGCATAAAAGTTAAATGTTCCTCTCCCTTCGTGGAAGTGGACACAACCCTCTCCTTCCTAAAAACAGGTCAGAAGCGTCCGGGATCACGCAGCGTCCTGCAGGAATCAGAGACAAGGGCGGGGATCCCTGTAGCTGGAGCTCTGACCCCACCCGGGGACCTGACAGGCTTCGTGGGAAATTAACACTAAGAAGAGACCACCAGTCACTAAAGGAAGGACTGCTTTAAGGCTTTCATTTGTGTTACCTCTTCCAGTTCCCAGAACGATTTCATTAGGATGGTCCTAAAGTCCCCATTTTAAAGAACAGCAGTGGGAGGTACAGGGACGTTAATAACATCCCAACCTTAAACTGTGAGAAAGTAGCCTCACAGGTGGGATGGAGGGAGGTGGGCTGAGCGAGCTGAGAGCCCCCAAAACCCTCAAACCAGGCGGCGTCCCGACCAAGTCCCAACCCCCAGCCTCATCTCCGGGGACGCGAGGACAACCCCAAGACCAAGAAGGCTCCGCGGACAAGAACGAAAAGAGCGGCTGTTGCACCTTCAAACCTCCGTTTTCCAACGAGGCTCCTTCTGCTCTTAGTCAACTTCCAGGTGGTTGCGAGCCCGCATCGTAAAGGGACATGTTGAGAAGGACCGACAAGACACACAACTGACACAAAACTACCACCGAAATGCACCGCAGCAACCTCACCCCCCGGGAGCGGAAGTGCCCCCTACCCGGCGCAGCGTGTGGACTACATTTCCCAGAATTCCCCGGATACGCCGCCCTGCGCCAACTTGCCCGTCATTCGACGGATCGCCGGCGCTACACTTCCTTGAATGCCAAAGGAGACGTTCTATAGTATCACCCTCCAGCGGGAAACCTGGAACTCCGCGGTGCTCTTTGACTAGACTTCCCGCAATGCCCACGAGGAATGAATTCCATATACCCGAGCGCCTGGTGAGGAATATGGACTGTGACCCTGAGAGTGGTCCTTCGCTTTCCCTGCGTCCTCGAGAGAAAATATTGAATAGACAGGAATTCCTGAAGTCTACACGCCTGCCATGATGACAGGAGTGTTACTGAAAGAGAACAAAGCAAGGAGATACAATCTTCAAGCAAGGAGATACAATCTTCAAGGAGTTAGCGGTCAGGAGATGGCTGAAAGGCTAATATACTAGACGCTAACAGTATGAGCTAAATCTAAGAGCTTAAATAATGGGCCAGGAAAAAATGGTTTGGGACAGGCAATTCCTGGGGCACCAGCCCCTGCTCCAGACACTGTTGTACCACTGCTTTGGCAAGAAAAACAACCACAGTTTAAGTGTTTATGAGGGCTGTAAGAATTAAAGAAAGAGAAAAGAAACACGAAAGGCGGCTCAACAGTCAAAGACAGGCTCGTTTTGGAGAATAAACCTGAGAGGGGCTTCTGGCCGATTGCCGTCAGGAGCACAGTCTCTTACAGACTAAAAGTATTGACTTTAGGGTGAGAGAGCTTATCACAGGCTTAGAATGTTTCTGTGTTGGGGAGAAGTCTGTTGTGGGGTTGGAATATCTCTGGTTGGAGGGGAGGTTATCTTGGGACTGACATCTCTCCAGTGGAAGGGAGGTTATCTCAGGGCTGGCATGTCTCTGGTCAGGGAGGGGTTTATCTTATGGTTGGAATGTTTCTGGTTGGAGATGTCATTTATGGTTTATGGTCATGCCGACCTTAGCCATTAGGCTGATGCCCTTTGGATTTAGGCAGTTTTTGATCAAGGTGAACTTTAAAATGGCAGTGATTGTCCAAGATGACAATGCTCCTGCCCTGTCAAGAGCCAATATGGAGGGCCAATTGCCCTCCTGGAAAACCTATTTTCCCACTTTAAAGTTTTCATATTAATATTCTTTAGACGTGGAAACGCCACATTCCAGAGAAATTAAACTGCTTAGTATTGTGAAAGAAAAATATCTTGGGCCCCCAAAATCACTAAGGAAACCTCAAGCTGGAAATAGCTTAGGGCAAACCTGCCTCCCATTCTATTCAAAGTCACTCTTCTATCTGTCCTTGCTACTAGGTCCCTTCCATGACATGTGGGAATTATAGGAGCTATAATTCAAGATGAGATTTGGGTGGAGACACAGCCAAACCATAACAATGTGTGTAGATTTCTTATTTTCCATTATTACTTAAAAGAAAACTTGTTTCTAACTCTTCTATGGTCATGTAACAACATATCCTAGAAATCACTTCATGTACAGTACATTCTTTTTAGCACTGTGTAAACTAGAAAATCCAGAAATAAATTTCTACACCTACAGTGAACTCATTTTCAACAAAGGTGCTAAGTATATATATTGGGAAAAGGACAGTCTCTTCAATAAATGGTGCCAGAAAAACATGATATCCACATATAGAAGAATGAAACTTCACCCCATTGTTCACCATATACACAGATAAAATCAAAATGGATTAAAGACTTAAATCTAAGACCTTGAACTATGAAACTACTACAAGAAAACATTGGGGAAATGCTCCAGGACATTAGTCTGGGCAAAGATTTCTTGAGTAATACCCCAAAAGCATAGATAACCAAAGCAAAAATGGACAAATGGGATCACATCAAGTTAAAAAGCTTCTGCATAGCAAAGGAAACAATCAACAAAGTGAAGAGACAACCCACACAATAGGAGAAAATATTTGCAAACTATACATCTGACAAGGGATTAATAACCAGAATGTAAGGAGCTCAAACAACCCAATAGGAAAAAATTTAATAATTCAATTTAAAAATGAGCAAAAGATCTGAATAGACATTTCTCAAAAGAGGGCATACAAACGGCAAACAGGTATATGAAAAGGTGCTCTACATCATAGATCATCAGATAAATGCAAATCAAAACTACCGTGAGATATCATCTCACCCCAGTTAAAATGGCTTTTATTCAAAACACAGACAATATCAAATGTTGGTGAGGATGTGAAAGGAGTGAGGGAGGGAATCCTTGCACATTGTTGGTGGGAATGTAAATTAGTACAACCACTGCGGAGAACAGTATGGAGGTTCCTCAAAAAATTAAGACTGAAACTACCATACAGTCCAGCAATCCCACTGGGTATGTACGCAAAAGGAAGGAAATCAGCATATCAAAATGATATCTGCACCCTCCCCTGCAATGTTTATTACAGCACTATTCACAATAACCAAAATTTGGAAGCAACCTAACTGTCCTTCAACAGATGAATGGATACAGGAAATGGACATATACACAATGGAGCCACAATTCAGCCACAAAAATGATGAGATTTTGTTATTTGCAACAATATGGATGGAACTGGAGGACATTATGTTCAGTGAAATAAGCCAGGCACAGAAAGGCAAACTTCACATGTTCTCAGGGAGAACTAAAACTAATACATACAATTATAAAACAGAAAAATTCCAGCAAATATTCATTGCTGAAGAAAATAAGAATATAATTGTAACACATTATGTATGTACACTCAAAAAAAAATTCCAGAAAAACAGATATGCTTGTCCAGAAATACACAAAGGTATTTATTTAATTTTTTTTTTTTGAGACAGGGTCTCACTCTGTTGCCCTGGCTGGAGTGCAGTAGCACTATCATAGGTCACTACAACCTCAATCTTCCAGACTCAAGCGATGTAAGGATGCAGCAAAAATACAAAGACACATGGCTGACATTCTAGGGGTCATCAATTTCGACATATTCATTAGTGTTTTGAAAGTGTGTGAATAAACTCTTATACTAAGGCCTGTCTCCTGAATAACTAATTGTCAAACTTCTGTTTGAAACCCTGCAGCATGACTTACAAGCATTCTCTGCTATGACAGTCCCATGACCACTGGGGTATGCTGAGCTATGGCTGAAACACTAACTTTAAACAAATGTTTTACTTCCCATAAGACCAGATGAAAACTATCAGCAGCATTGATTCTGTGATAAATGACAAGATATGAACTCACACTTACCACATGCCTCTTATTTTTAATGTTTCTCTCCTTTGTGAACTCTCACATGAGACTGTAGTGAGACTGAGTAGAGGCTTTATCACACACATCACACTACTAAGGTTTCTTTCCAGTGTGGACACTGATGAAGTTGAAGAGTTAAAGTCTGAATGAAGCACATACCATTCTGCCACACTTTCATGGTTTCTCTCCTATGTGAAGCCTCTGAGGCCTAATATTTCCAGTGATGTAGCAATCACACTACTGGGTATATCCAAAGGAAAGGAAATCAGTATGCCGAGGAGATATCTGCACTCCCATGTTCACTGCAGCACTACTCACAATAGCCAAGATACGGAACCCACCTAAGTGTCCATCAATAGATGACGAAAAGGTGGCGCATATATATATATATACACACACACACACACACACATACACACACACACACACACACACACAATGAAATACTCTTTAGATATAACAAAGAAACAAAATTGTGTCACTTGTGGCAACATGGATGAGCTTTGGAGGACATTATGTTAAACAATATAACCCAAGCAAAGAAAGATAAATACCAACTGTCCTTACTCACATGTGGAAGCTAAAAAAAAGCTGATTTCATAGAAGTAGTGAGAACAATGGCTCTAGAGGCAGGGAAGGGTGGGGGATAGGTGGGATGGCCAAAGGTTGGCTAAAGGATACAAAAGTACAGGTAGATAGGAGGAAGTTCTACTGTTCTGCAGCACTAAAGGTGACTATCATCAACAATGATGTATTTTCAAATTGCTAGAACAACGAATTTTTAATTTTCCCAACACAAAGAAGAGATCATTGTTTGAGGTGATAAATATGCTAATTACACTGATTTGATCATTATACATCATATACGTATATTTAAATATCAAATTTTCCCCCTTAAATATGTACAACACTTATGTGTCATTTAAAAATAATGATAAAATTATATCAAGATTCAAGCGCCTCTTGTAGCGCTTCCCACAGTCCTCACATTTGGATGGATTTTCTCCACTGTGGTCTCTTGGTTGGTCTTTACGGTATGACCGGTGTACAAGCTTCTTTCCACAGTCCTCACATTTGAATGGTTTTTTCTGGCAGTGGAGTCTCTTATGATTCAAAATACTTGAGGCCTGTCTAAAGCTCTTCCCACAGTCATCACAGTTATAAGGTCTCTCTCCTGTGTGTGCTCTATGGTGCAAGTCAAGACCTGACTTAGTAATGTAGCTCTTCCCACACTTGTCACATTTGTATGGCTTTTCTCCAGTGTGGACTCGCTGATGGATCAAAAGATATGAGGACCGTCTGAAGCTCTTCCCACATTCTTTACAATTATATGGTTTCTCTCCTGTGTGGATCGTCTGATGCTTACACAAATCCAGCCTACCGATGAAGCCTTTTCCATATTCCCCAGTGTTGTTTGGTTTCTTTCCTGTGTGGACCACACAATGCCTATTAAGACTTGACCTAAGACGGAAGCTCATACTACATATCTCACATTTGAATGGCTTCTCCCCTGTGTGAATTCTCTGATGTTTCTGAAGCTGGATATCATGAATGAAAGCCCTCCCACATACCTCACAATTATGTTTCTCTCCCATGTGTAATTTGCAATGAACTGTAAGTGCTGATCTACATCTGAAGCCTCTCCCACATTGTTCACATTTGAAAGGTTTCTCTCCAGTGTGGACTCTCTGATGAGTTTGCAGATGTAAACTCTGACTGAATTCCTTACCACACAGGTCACACTTAAAGAGTTTCTCTCCCAGGTGGACTCTCTGATGAATATGAAGTGCTGAGATGTAACAGAAGCTTTTTCCACACTCATCACGGGAATGAGACTTCTCTGCTGAGTGTATTTGCTGAGGAAGATCAAAGATGGAAACATCACTGAAGGATGGTTTACACTTCCCACGATTGGAAGGTTTCTGTCCTGTATGCATTATAGATAGTCCTTCCTCAGCCTGGGAGTGGGCATCACCCTGTTCAAAGAACTGAGAGCTATTTGTGGTAGAGTCTTGAGGCCTGGTTAAATCACTTGCAATTTCTTCCCAGATCTGCTGGCAGGACAACCCTTTATGTGGTCCTGCTTCTGGAACAGTCTTCATCTCAGGTTGGATCTTGCCTCCTATCAGAATACAAAATTAAGAGATCAGGACAAGCTATGCCCTGTTCAGTGTTTTTAAGAGTTCACACTTAGGACATGGTATGAAACTTCAATGAACATTCAGTTTTTGTTTTCCAAGTGCACCCTGGTTTCTGGTTTGCATGAGAGCAATCTAAAACCATACCATGTTGCCGGGCACAGTGGCTCACACCCATAATCCCAGCACTTTGGGAGGCTGAGGCACTTTGGGAGGTTGAGGCCTGCGAATCACTTGAGGTCAGGAGTTCCGGACCAGCCTGACCAACATAGTGAAACCCTGTCTCTACTAAAAATATAAAAATCAGCCAGGTGTAGTGGAACACACCTATAATCCCAGATACTTGGGAGACTGAGGCAAGAGAATTGATTGAACCCAGGAGGCACAGGTTGCAGTGAGCCAAGATTGTGCCACTACACTCCAGCCTGGGCGACAGAGTGAGACTCTGTCTCAAAACAAGAAGGAAAGGAAAGGAAAAGAAAAGGAAAAGGAAAAGGAGAAAGAAAGAACCATACCACATCTCAAATATAAAATCCTTGATAGAAATAAAAAATTAATATGACACATACATTTAACTTGTTACTATTAAAATTTCCAACTCAGTCTGAAATCTTACATGATAAATTACTAAACTATTATGTACATAATGAAATATGAATCAAAAGGAACTCTAAGGGAAAGCAGTAACATAATAAATACTTTGTATATTTACCTGTCTATTGTATTTCCTTATAAAGAAGTTAACCTTCCTTTTTGTATGAGGTGGCTTAAAAAACATTTTTAAAAATAAGAAAAGAAGTTAACCTAACTAAAAAGAGGTTGGGACTTTGTCCTCAGTATCTGAGAGATAATCTGTAGGATCTTGAAGGGGCATGCCTGAGGAAAGTGTCTCTGTTTGCTTGGGGCCAAATCTTGGGCAACTCTTGATAGTGAAATAATATAATTTAGGGTTGTGACTGGCCACAGCTTTGGGGGATGGGAAATGGCAGGTGGAATTCCCCATATCAGAAAAAATAACAATGTGATTTAACGTGGGGCTTTAGGTCACAGGGAACCAGTGGACCAAAAGACTAAATAACCACAAAGGAAACAACCAACCAATTATGGCTGTGTAATGGAGCCCCAATAATTACTCTGATCCCAGCACTCAGTTGACTTTCCCTGATTGGTAGTTCCCTGTGTCTAAGTCACATGCTAATTTTGGGTATGTAACATGCCCTACTCTACTGTGAGAATACAATAGGAGATCCACATTTGGTGCTTCACTGGACTCTGTCTTATTTGGTTTTCCCCACTGGCTAACTATAATATGCATCTTTTCCCTGTAAATGTCAGTAACTGTGAGAATAAATGCATCCAGTGAGTTCTGAGAGTCTTTCTAGGAAATTATTGAAAGTGAAGGTAGTTTTGAAAAACTCCTGAATTTGCACCTGGAGTGAAGTGAGAACAGTTCTCTGTAAAATGTCCCATTAAACTTTTTAGTTTAACCCTGCATGATACTAAACATCAAACACCTTAGAGTGTTTATATCTACAAATCGAAAGTATTCCTATGCAAGAATTTTGCACGACACGTATAAAATACTTAATCTTACTTTTCTGTTTTGATATGGACAGTAACTTGGTTATCTGAAAGAGTACAGACAACTGCAGTTCTGAGGGGAATCTGAAAGGCTGTCCTTCCAGGGGTCCACAAAGGAGGATGCTCTTGATCAGACAATCAATGATGTGAAGAATCACTTGGAATGAAAAGAAAGCCTATAATGTAGATAAACAGGCCTTCATAACTTTTTATATTCAAGACTACATATCAGTGAGCTGAAATAAAGTTAAAACCTGCAATAGACATTTATAGAAAGGAACCAGAATGAAAATTATCACAGCGTGGAGACAAGCAGGAAAGGTATCGTTAATGAAATGTCAGCTAGTCACTCACATACATCTACACGCATGAAAAATGTCCAGGTTATACTGAAAGAGGTGTTTCTTACTATGGTTCATGCTCACAAAATGTTCAAACCTTTGTCAGGATATTACCAAGTCCTGAATCAGGTAAATTTTTCTGATGGAGAGTTAAGTTCCAAAGGTTGAATCTTGGAAAATATTAACAGGTAAGTGGATACCTATCGGTGTACAGTGGTGACAGAGAAGGGCTGGGCTCCTGGCCAAACTCCACCCTTAAGCCTAGAACCTCGGCCCTAAGTGGAAACAGATGACCCCATTTTTCTGCCCAAATGTTGCTTTTTTGGCCTGCCTGCCACTATCCTGTGCCCATAAAAGATTTCAGCTGGCAGAGCAACACAAGCAGCTGAGTGACAAGGATACAAGTTGCTGAGCAGTAAGCAGAGAAGCAACTGAGTGTTGGAAACTATAGCTAGATCTGGCTAACTTCAGAAGGTGTGGCTTTGGAGAGCGGTCTAGCCACAAATGGCCTGGTTTCAGAAACAGATCACTTTCCCATCTCCTTTCCAGCCTCCTTTTCTGCTGAGAGCCACCTACTGCTCCATAAAGTCTTCTTTATTCATTACCTTTCACATAGTTCGTGTGACCCGGTTCTTCCTGGATGCTGGACAAGAACCCAGCTGCCAAGAGGGCAGGGGCAGCTACTCTGAAGCTCCACTGAGCTGGCTGGCACTTGGCCATCCCCAGATGGCAGAGCTGAAACAGCATGGGTTGTAACATGCTTGGACACTGCTGTGGGGCATGCACAGAGCCTGCTCCCACCAGAGAGGAGCGACCAGCCAATTCCAGCATTCATTTGCTCCAGTTCTGGCACTCGCTCACTTGCATGCTCTCTCCCGCAAGGAGTGGACAGCGGAGGGCTGAGTGAAACAAACCCTGCAGTTTCCGCCCACAAAGACGGTCAAGGGAATAATCCTCTCATCAGTACAGGGATATATTTAATACACTGTGACTTATAAATAAGAGGTCTTTAAGGAGAAGGGAAGGTCTCTCAGGATGTTTCTATTTTGAGAAAGTAATTCCCCAATTCCTTCCAGGTCATACCGCTTACCAGTTCAAAATATAGCACTAAATCTATAAAAATAAACAAAAAGCCTGTAAAATCTGTGTCCTTTTAACTTTTTGACAATTAAATTTGCATCATGTAAAGATGAGGAAATATACACATTTTTGAAGAAAGATGACCGGAAACAGAGTCAACATTCAGCTACATAACTTGCGTCTTCTCATCCTCATTCTTCCCCCTCTAAGGGAAGGAAGGAGGAACCTGGGGGCAGTGAAGTGCAGACCGACTTTGGAAAAGGCAAATGGGCTGCAAATGGGTAAATCTTTCAAAGGAAATGTAGCTGGAAATCCTCATTCAAAAAGACTTTCTTCCCAGATATAAATGTGCTCCCTATGGAAAGCTCCAGGGTAGGTCCCAGGGAAGGCATATTACTCAGCGTGGTCATGAAAAAAAATGCTATGCTTAGAAGTTTCCACAGGACATGGGTTAACTGCACACACATAAAACCAGTCATGTCAAGGAAACCTAAGAAAGTTGAAAATGGATAAGCAGTCATCCACAGAGAAAAAAAAAAACTGTTCTGCAATATATAATCAGCCCTCCATATCCATGGGTTTGGCACCCATGGATTCAACCAACCCTAAATAACCAAAATTATTTAGGGAAAAAAATTTCAGTTCCAAAGAGCAAAACTGGAATTTCTCACAAACTAAGTCCTATGTTGAATCCTTGTGAATGAAGTGACAGGTAGGCATTGCATTTGGTATTATAACTGGTCTAAACATGATTTAAAGTATATGGAAGGATGTACATAGGTTATAGGCAAATACTCCACATATATCAGGAACTTGAACATCTCTGGCTTTCGGTATCCATGTGGGGTCCTGAAATCAAATCCCTATGGCTTCCAAGGGACTAATATATTTCATTCACTCTGGTTCATGTATTACTTATTAGCTAGCTCCATGATTCCTACAGACAGTGAAGTCCCCCCATCCATTAATTCATTCATCAGGATACCAGATATTTATAGATCCCTCCATGTACTAGAACTATTCTAGGCACTGAAAATGCAGTCATAAACAAACAGATAAACACCTTGTAGAGATTATATTTGAAAGGGAATAGGTGATCTACCAGTAAACAAAAGCATATGACACACAATACTTGCAGGCCAAGTAAAGATAGGATGGTATTTTCAATAGGGTGCTTGAAGATGACCTCTCCCATGATAGTAAAACTCAGCAGAGACCTGCATAAACTAAGGGAGGGGGTCACTAAGTTTTGTGGGGACAGAGGATTCCAGTCAGAGACAAAAGCAAGTGAGGGCTCTGTGGCAGAAGCTTCTGTAGTAGGGAACATAATTGTTCCTGAAAGATGTCTACATCCAACCTTCAGGACCTATGAATCTGAAACATTACACAGCAAGGCAGATTAAGGCTGCAGATGTCATTGAGGTCACTAATCAGCTAAGCAGAAAGTAGGAAAGTCAACTTGGATCATGCAGGAGTGATGAATACAATCACAAGGGACCTGAAAGGTGGAAGACATAGGCATAAGAAGAGTGGCAGAGGGAGCGTGACTCTGGAAGAATGGTCAAGGATGCAATGTAGCTGCCTTCAAAGATGGAGGAATGGAAACTAGAGCCAAGGAATGTGGACAGTGTCTAGGGACTGGTAAAACAAACGAAGACTTCTCTCCGTGAACATCCAGAAAGGAACAAAGCCCTAAGACAGCTTGATTTTTGTCCAGTGAGATGTGTTACACTTCAGGCCTAAAGAAAAGAGAAATAATAAATGCTTCTTATTTAATCATCTAAGTTCGTGGTCATTGGGTACCAGCAACAGGTGATACAGTGTACTTGGCAGGATGGAGAAACAAGAGGGATGACAAGGTGGCCAGAAAAGATAGAGAAAGAGGGAGAGTATGGGAGATGTAGTGAAGAGGCAGTGAAGAATGAAGAGTAGACCACAGGGGTTTCTAGAAGCCACTTAAAGAGGCTTTCATAAAAATAAGAAGCCAGAATGGCTCTGAAGCTGAGGAATGATAATCTGACATCCAGGTCCTAAGGATCACTTTAGCCGCCATGAGGAGAACAGATGTCAGGGTGGGAAGGCACGGAGCAGGGCCACCAGCTGGAAGAAGGTTATAATAATCCAGGAAAGATGTTTGGCCATTTAGAACAAGGTGATGCAGCTGAACACGCACAGAAGTAAAACAGATGGAAGTCACAAACAAGGACACACAGTTGCTTGCTTCTTACCTGAATTCCCTTCTCTTTGGGTTGCTATATCCATCATCCAAAACTTTTCCTCCCTTAGAAAGTGGAAAGTATCTCGGTGGAATGGTTGATGCCCTGTAAACAGGCAAAGTCACATGCTTAATCCCAACATATTCTAGATAATATCAGGGTAACACTTACTGGAAATTTAGGTTCCCACTGCACACTTAAACTTGAACACCCTAGGATACAAAACCACTCCTGGGACCTGACATTCCCTTATAGAAGATGCCTGTCCTCACCCACTGACAGCAGGTTCCTGAAGTTCTCCAGCATCACATCTCGATACAGCTTCCTCTGGGCAAGGTCCAGCAGCCCCAGCTCCTCCTCAGTGAAGACCACCACCACATCCTTGAAGGTCACTGCCTCCTACAGCATCAAACATATGCAACCTCAATCTCACAACCAATGGTTACTGGGAGAGAAGCAACATTGAGGAGGTCAAGGGAAAAAATGGAAAGCTTTTCTGGATCTTCAGAGATGTAGGCCAACTTATAGAATTCCCATTCATTCTAGTCTGTGTCCTGACAATGACACACATTGATTGTCCCAAGCGTCATCAGAAGTCCAACGATGGAGAAGTGCTGTGGTCTTATTTAGTGAACTCATTGAGTTTACTGGTATGTAGCCCCCCTAGGAGTCTAAATGCTGCATCCTGGGCTACAGGTATATAGGTTTCGATGAACCTGGCTAATAGTCCCAGCAACAGTGAGCAATTCAGTCAGTATCTGCCCAACCTGGCAGCCGGTTGATGAGGCTGTGGCTGTGAAACCCCAATCTCAGTATTCCCAATAATTATTTTTCCTTTTCCCCTTTATAGTGCACATCCTGTTGGTAGTTTGTGGTTCAGATCACCACAGTAACCGACAAAGGTCCTCCTGACTCTAATCTGGAGGTGATGCTTCCCTGAACATCCCTGACTTCTACAGGATCCCACAGTGGTGAAGAATGAGACCACAGAACACTGTAGGGGGTATCAGGGTCCTTCTGATGGTACTGGGGACACCTGATCCTTCCATTTGGGTGGCTGGCACTATCAGGCATATCTTTTTGTACAGGACATGACCTCCTTCCTGACTGAACAACTCAGGCAGGAAGGTCTTGGCCAAAAAACCAGGGGAATGGATGTCTACAGTGGTAGTAGCCTCAGGACAGGGACAGACAGACTGGGTCGCTACACCACCTTAGCCCGCCCCCTATCCAACAGCTATTAATCTGCTGTTTCCCCAAGGGTGTGGCAGCAGAGGCCTGGAAGCACAGCACATTCCTTAAGTTATCTCAAGCTGCAGTCACCTTATGTCACCTGGTTAAGTGTTCCATCTGCTACCCTGGATTTATTCTATCACCAACCACAGTGACCCTCTCATCCTGACCATGGTAAACCACACCAGCATCCCTCATGCCACAGTGCACACCAACAGCTCCATAACCCTGGCTTGTCAAGTGAGGACCTGGCACCTGCCACATGAGAGAGAGCTGGAGGGCCCAGTGGTAACTGGTGTAAGGCAACAGAATCACACAACCTCAACAAAGCTACAGTGGACTGTGCTTGCTCACACCATGTTCCTTTGACTACCTGGATGAGACATGTTCCATATAATGAAAACCAGAACTGGATGAGTGGCATTCCTCTCTGTAAGGGCCGCATGAACGTCATACGTGGGGAACTGACCTTATGCAACTGTGCCAAAAAATGAGCTCTGGCTGGCAAAAGATAACGTCCCCATTCCCACAAATGGGTCACAGAACAGCCAAACAAGGGCATGGGTGTTGTGTGCACCTGAGCCTTATGGCTTTCTCTGTGGATGGTTTGGAGGGTGACCCAGATACAGGGTGGCTATGTCATGCCTGGAAAGCTGGCAGACTGTTAGATCCTAAACATTGGGCATGCCGGGGGTGCCCCTAGATCTCACCCTGGGAGCGAGATGTACCACTGGGCAAGAAGGCTAAAGCTGTGCCCCAGGCTGACTGGGGACCTGCCTGGAGTTGTAGCTAGCTTCCAGATTTATGTTCTACACCTACAAGTCAATTCCCATGAAAAATGGTGAGACACCTGTCACAGACAATGGTTGATAGATACTGCTTCTTCCACGGCCACTGCCTCGGGAGCCCAGCAACATCCCTTCACTCCCTCAGGAAGGTTCAAAAAACACAAGTGCTCTGTGCTTTTAGCCCTACTGGGAGGAGTGGGTCTGCGACTGCCAACACCTCCGGTCTTCTCTGGATACATAGCTACTGTAAAAACTCAATGAGAGGCAACCCAGAAGCAGGCCCACTGGCTTCAGACACTGGGGCCATCTGAATGATTCTTCTTTGGTATCTTCAGCAGCTTCTTATTTTGATAACTGGGACCCAGGCAGGATTGCTACTTCAGGAAGGTCTGGCCGTGCTGCTTGTGGTCATGCTCCTCTGGGGTCCACGGAATGTATTCCAGCTATAATTCCATGAAGTTGGCAGAGATTGTGTCAGTCAAGGTATTACACTGATCTAACAAGATCAACCAACACCTCCAGGCCTAGGGAGGTCGATGGGCACATGAAATGGACCAGTTGGCTAAGGGGGATATCTAGGTCAGGGGATGGACTGCAGGACAGTTGTAGGCAAACATGTCCGAGGTCACATGGTTAGAAATGGGCAGACTCAGTTCTCTCCCCTTTCTTCCTTGCAGTTCTCAAGAATAACTGTAGATTATTCTAGGAATGCAGTATTATGGGGAGGAATTAACTGCCTTTGACAGTCTAGGCTTTGTTCCTCTCTCACCTGGAAGCAGGATGTCCTTCAAGTTTTTCTCCATGAGTCATGGCACCCTGAAGTATATAAACAAGGGCAGGTTACCTTCTGGGGTGCCTCAGCTCTGGTGCAAGTGGGGCACATACAGTCAAGATTCCATCTGCTCAAGGTAGCTTTCTTGAGCCCTGGATGGCCGGCTCACAGTGGACCCCAGGCTTCTGGGCTCCCTTATTGCCAATCTGTAGTCATAAATCTGCTTCATGTAATCTGCTACATGTGAGTGTGTTCTGTCCCACAGGACTCACACGAGTTGGTAAACAGTGCACAGTGAACCTGCTCCATGGTACTCGGTGTGAGACAGCTATGTAGTGTGTCTTCTGCACTTGCAAGGCACAAACCACATATGCTTATTGCAGCATTTAGTGTCCTGATCAAAAGCCAGTATGCCTCAGTACACATCCTAAGAGTCTGCCCTTTTCTAATCATGTGACCTCGGACATGTTTGCCTACAAGCCTTGCTCCCTCTGCGAATAATAGTTCTTATATGACAGAGTTTCAAGAATTAAGAAAGGAAATATACAGTATTTTGAAAAGTCTATGGCACAGACTAAATGTTTAATGAACACTAGCTAGTATTACTTATTACTGTTTATTACCATTATCTATTTCAGGGTTCCACAGTATTCCAGGGAACTGATTATCTATTTTTAGCTACACTAAAGAATAAATATTTTTACATATTTTCCATTATCAATCCTGTAAAGATAATATAATAAGTAGTAAGATGTAAGAACATCTAACTCTCCTGTCTCATTTAAAATAATTTCTTGTGAAAATTAAAATGTGAAAAATAACCACATTTAATATTATCATCATATAATTGCATACTTTCGTCTCACTTTTTTCCCTACCTCTCCAATCATTCAACAGAATTCGATACCCTAATTCTCCTTATCATGGCCAAGGGTAGTTTATAAATATTCCCATGGTTTTGGTAATCTGATTAGGAAGAACAATTCATTGTATTATTCTCACTTATTATTATAAATGAATACCATCACTTTTGCCATCTCTATTTCTTCTTTTACAATTGCCTTTTAGTGTTCTTTGTTCCAATCTGTTTGAACTATTTTCTTTATCCTTTTAGAAGATTCTTATTCTGGATTTATTCTTCCTTAACTATCCAAGGGGTAAATATCTTTGCCCCAGGTTGTCATTTTTTTCCGGTAACAATGCGTGAGGCGAGCTGGGCGCAGTGGCTCATGCCTGTAATCCCAACACTTTGGGAGACCGAGGCGGGTGGATCACGAGGTCAGGAGATCAAGACCATCCTGGCTAACACGGTGAAACCCTGTCTCTACTAAAAATACAAAAAAAATTTAGCTGGGCGTGGTGGTGGGTGCCTGTCATCCTAGCTACTCGGGAGGCTGAGGCAGAAGAATGCCGCGAACCCGGGAGGCAGAGCTTGCAGTGAGCTGAGATCACGCCACTGAACTCCAGCCTGGGCAACAGAGTGAGACTCTGTCTCAAAAACAAAACAAAACAAAACAAAAAAACAATGTGTGAGGCATCTTGTGCCATAAGAAGGAGTTTAGAGATTTTTAAGAACACCTGTGGTAATCACTGTCCTTGGGTACTTGGAACGATGAATACACCTGAGTAGATGCCAGGAAAGGAAGTCACACCAACGCAGGACAAAGAGAAGCAGTGCCACCTGTGGATGTCATCACTCAAGGGAGCACTCCAGACACTCACACAACAGGGCACCACACCCTCAATGGAGAATTTTTCTCTTTCACTTGAGCAGAATGGCTAAGATTCCTGATCCTTGATTGCCTCTGTGATTTTCTGCAGGTTTCTCATATTTCATGAGTTTAGGAGAAGAGAACGGGAACCTCCTCATTCTGCTGCTCTGAGAAGTAAATGAGTGACAGTACACAAGTGACTGGCCAATCTTCAGTATTACTAGACTTTTTTTTTTTTTTTTTTTTTGAGATAGAGTTTCACCCTTGTTGCCCAGGCTGGAGTGCAATGGCCCAATCTCAGCTCACCACAACCTCTGCCTGCTGGTTTGAAGTGATTCTCCTGCTTCAGCCTACCGAGTAGCTGGGATTATAGGCATGCACCACCACGCCCAGCTAATTTTGTATTTTTAGTAGACTCGGGGTTTCTCCATGTTGGTCAGACTGGTCTCGAACTCCCGACCTCAGGTGATCTGCCTGCCTCAGCCTCCCAAAGTGCTGGGATTATAGGCGTGAGCCACCGCACCCGGCCCAGTATTACTAGACATTTTAAATGAAGGCTTTCTGGCTGGGTGCGGTGGCTCATGCCTGTAATCCCAGCACTTTCAGAGGCCGAGGCGGGCAGAATCACTTGAGGTCAGAAGTTCGAGACCAGCCTGACCAACATGATAAAACCCCATCTCTACTAATAATACAAAAATTAGCCAGGCGACAAGAGATCATCAAAGTCCTGTTGTTCTCCTTGAGTCTTCCCAGGACAGAGAAAAACACAGAACAATCTGAGTAGTAAGATGGAATTTTAACAGTAAGAGAGGAAAGCCCTACTCACCTTGGACGTGGTCATTTTTCCTCCTACTTTAGGGAATTTGCAGAGTCCTGAATGATGCAGTTCAAGGGAAAGCAGAATTGTGCCTGGAAAGTGCCATGAAGACAGAAAAAGAGACATGAAAGGGTGGTCAGGGATGTCACCCACCAACAAGGACTCATAGTTTCAATTAGCACATGAATGCTCACAGCAGCATTATTCATACTAACCCCAAATTGCACACAACCAAGAAGCTCTCCTATGGGTAAATGGATAGAAAAATTGTGGCATATTCACACAATGGAATCTTATTCGGAAATGTAAAGGAATGAAACAATGAGCTATGCAGCAACACCTGTGAACCTTGAAAACATTACAGTAAGTGAAAGAAGCAAGTCACAAAAACCCACAGACCCTACAATTCCATTTACATGAAATGTCTGGAATAGACAAATATATATAGAAAGTAGGTTAGTAGTTGTTCTAAAGTTGAGGTGAGAATGAGGTTTAAAGTAAATGGGCATGAGTTCAACTGGGGGATGAAAGTGATCTCGGCTGAATTATGATGATGATTACTCCACATCAAAGTTCCTAAAGATCACTGACTTGTACACCTGAAATGGGTGAATGCTACAACTAAAATAAACCTAGAGTTAAATAACTGTTAATGCACATATTATTAGAATCAATAAGACTGGATTCTGAGTCCATATTGATAGAATATTTATAGTTGAACACATCAATGAACCAATAGAGGAGAAATGGAAGCTCTTCTTTACAAGAAAATGCCCACTAATAATGTGTTTTCCCATAAGAAGCTTCATAATTTAAAAAAAAGTAACATAAGAGTGGACAAATCTGAAAGACATCTTCTTGGCCAGTGACAAAGCTGAGATCACCAATGAAGGGACAAACGAACATCACTTGGACCTTGTTATGTTACAATGAAAAGGGCATCTTAATTCACCATTGTACTCCAGCCAGGGTGACAAGAGCGAAACTCTGTCTCAAAAAAAAGGAAAAGATAAAAAAAAAAGAAAAAAAAAGAAAAGAGAAGGGCATCTCAGCACTCCTGTGGAATCCCCACCAACAATGTATAATCTGAACCTAAATGTGAAATATATCTGTGGGGGAAAGAAAGAGAGATCAGGCTGTTACTGTGTCTATGTAGAAAAAGGAAGACATAAGAAACTCCATTTTCATCTGTACTAAGAAAAATTCTTCTGCCTTAAGATGCTATTAATCTGCAACCCTAACCCCAACCCTGTGCTCGCAGAAACATGAGCTGTATTGACTCAAGGTTTAATGGATTTAGGGTTCTGCAGGGTGTGCTTTGGTAAAAATGTGTTTGCAGGCAGTATGCTCGGTAAAAGTCATTGCCATTCTCCAGTCTCGAGTAACCGGGAACACAATACACTGAGGAAGCCCACAGGGACCTCTGTGCAAGAAAGCCTGGGCATTGTCCAAGGTTTCCCCACACTGAGACAGCCTGAGATATGGCCTCGTGGGAAGGGAAAGACCTGACTGTCCCCCAGCCCGACGCCCATAAAGAGTCTGTGCTGAGGAGGATTAGTGAAAGAGGAAGGCCTCTTTGCAGTTGAGATAAGAGGAAGGCATCTGTCTCCTGCTCATCCCTGGGAATGGAATGTCTTGGTGTAAAACCCGATCATACATTCTATTTACTGAGATAGGAGAAAACTGCTTTATGGCTGGAGGTGAGACATGCTGGCAGCAATAGTGCTCTTTACTGCACTGAGATGTTTGTGTAAAGTCACACATAAATCAGGCACAGCACCTTTCCTTAAACTTATTTATGACACAGAGTCCTTTGCTCACATGTTTTCCTGCTGACCCTCTCCCCACCATTACCCTATAGTCCTGCCACATGCCCCTTGCCAAAATCATAGAGATTGTGATCAATAAATACTGAGGAAACTCAGAAGCCAGCGCCGGTGCAGGTCCTTACTTGCTGAGTGCCAGTCCCTTGGGCCCACTTTTCTTCCTCTATACTTTGTCTCTGTGTCTTATTTCTTTTCTCAGTCTCTCGTCTCCACCTTGCGATAAATACCCACAGGTGTGGAGAGGCACGCCCCCTTCAATATCAAACTCCAAATGAACAACTATGGAAATGTGACAGCTAAAGACAACGCATAAACTGGACTTTGAATAGGTGAAGGGTGGGGCAGAGGGCAGTCATAAGAACTTTAAATGAAAAATTTAACAAATTCATATATAGAACTGCAGATTAGATAACATGATGCTAGGCAATATGCTATCCAACACTATCTAGTAAGTACACTACAAATACTAGTATTCTTTTAACACATCTATCTGATATGTAATTGGTAACAGTATTATTTAATATAATATCCAATATTATCTACCATGTTATGTGAAACCCTATAATCAGCACTTCCTAAATGCCTCTTACCAAGACACCCCACAATTACCATGGTATGTGGGCTTCCTTGCTGCAGAAAACTACCAATCAGCAGTCTCTGGTTACAGGTATTTTCCTGGTGGTATCAAAGCAAACAGAAAAAATGTAAACATTTGGCAAATTTGGGTGAAGACTATATGAGAATTTCTCATATTGTTTTTGCAATTTTTCTATAGCTTTGAAATGATAATCAAACGTTTTAAAATATCAGGAAACAAGAGACCACCAGTCACCAAGTGATGGGGACAACTTTAAGGCTTTCACTTGTATTATCTCTTTCAATTCGCAAAACAATGTTAGGATGATCCTATAAGCACCATTTTAAAGAATAGCAATGGGAAGTACAGAGACATTAAGTAACATTCCACATCACACTGCGAGAAAGAGGCCGCATACGTAGGGAGGCGGACTGAGCGAGGTCAAAGCCCTGGAAACCCTCAGAGCAGGGCACACAGGGCCCCCCAATCCCACCCCCGGGGACGCCGGCACAGCCCCAGACGCCAGAAGGCTCCACTGACGGGAACAATAAACACCCCGCCCTCGCACCTCTAAACCTCTGCTCTTCGGCAAGCCTTCTTTTCCCCTGAGACGATCATCGATCATCGGGTGGTTGCGAGCCTCAGGCAAAAGGGGCTCGTTCAAAACGTCCTGCAAGACGCCGGTCGTTAAAGCAGGAATCTCAGGCTCGGAGACCGGAAGTGTCCTCTGCGCCAGAGTGTCTGGACTCCACTTCCCAGAATTCCCCGGACCCGCCCGCCTGAGCCAAAGGGCCCGCGACTCCGCAGAGCATCTGGACTATCCTTCCCAGAATTCACCGGACCACCTGCCAGAGCCAAAATGCCCGGTGTTCCACCAGCCAGTGGACTGCACTTCCCATAAAAAAAGGACTACAATTCCCAGAAGTCCCCGGAAATGCCTAACTGAGCTAAAGTACCAGGAATTCCGCAAGGTGTCTAGATTGTAGGGCCTCGGATGCAAAAGGAAAATGTCCATCATCTCACCCTTTAGGCGCAAGTGTTTCGACTACATGGTGCTCCTCGATTACACTTCTCGCAACACCCAGGGGGAATGAGTTTCATAGCCCTAGGCGCCTGGTGGGGAATGTAGACTGTTACCCTGACAGTTGTCCTTCCCAGAGTTCTCGAGCGAAAATATTGAATAAACAAGAATTTGTGAAGTCTAAATGTCTCCCATGATTGACAGGAGTGTTCTTGGACAGGGAACAAGCGAGGAGATACAATATTCAAGGAGCTAGCGGGAGTGACTGTTGAGCAGTCAGATGGCTGAAAGGAGGCTCAGGGTTTAAAGCAAGGATATCCAACTCCAGGGCCACAGACCTGTACGGTTCCACAGCCTGTTAGGAATCGGGCGGCACAGCAGGAAGTGAGCGGCAGGTGAGGGAGCATTATGGCCTGAGCTCCACCTCCTGTGAGATCAGCCCAGCATTACATTCTCATAGGAGCGTGAAACCTATTGTGAACTGTGCGTGGGAAGGATGTAGGTTAGGCGCTCCTTATGAAAATCTAATGCCTGAGGTGGAACAGTTTCATCCCGAAACCATTCCTGGTGGAAAACTTGTCTTCCACAAAACCGGTCCATAGTGCTAAAATGGTTGGGGACCACTGGTTTAAAGAATGAGCCAGGTACAATAGGTTAGGAGGGACAATGAGAAGCCAGGAAAGCATCAGCCCCTGTAACTGAAAAGTAGATTAGTGGCTTCCCGTTTGCAAAGTCCAGTTAACAAGAGGGAGATCTGGTATAAAGAAAGTGATTTAATCCAGAGCTAGTGTAGGGTAGGAAGCACAGGTGTTGTCTTTAAGTGTACTGCTTGGCTTTTAGAGCAGAAGGCAGGCACTTTTAAAAGGTAGGGGAGGAAGAGGGCAGGGGTCTGTGTGCTGGCTTGGTGCCTTATCTATTAGGCAGTTGAGTTGGGTTTTTTCATGGGCAGAAACAAATTGTAACCAGAAGAGAGAGAGTAGCAGGCATGCTTTCAACTGTTGTCTCTTCAGGCAACCTCCTGGTGGGTGAGAGTTCAAAGGCCAGCATGCTTTAGTTTATAAATTGACTGTTAATTCTAGAGGAGAGTTCTGGCTTGGAGCACATAGTTAGATGAACTTGCCCTGCAGGAAGTGTCTGGTGAAGGGGAGGTAAAAGTCTGTATTTGCATTTTTTAAAGGGCTACGTAGGAAGTGGGAAACTAAGGAAATGAGAAAAGAGAAAGAAATAAATAAGCCGTCTCTTAGAAAAAATGGTGGTTCTCAGTTACACCCCTAGTCCAGATGCTGTGGCACCACTGGTTTGGCAGGAAAAACAAAATTCCAGCCATCAATGGAGAAACTGTGTCCTCATGGAAAAGCTATCTTCCCACGTTTAACATTCTCATGGTAGTAATATTTCTACTTTAGATGTAGAAACACTAAATTTCGAGAAGTTAGTGAATTGCTAAGTATTTTAAAGCAAGTATAACTGTTGAAGAGCTTGGCACTGGTATCAATCTGACACCCAATGTCTATGATTCAATGCCATAAAACTGGAGAAGATTCTGTAGGTGAGGGAGCATGATTTATTATTAAGAGTTTCCTGTCGGGCATGGTGGCTCACGCCTGTAATCCCAGCACTTTGGGAGGCTGAGCTAGGTGGATCACCTGACGTCAGAAGTTTGAGACCAGCCTGGCCAACATGGTGAAACCCCGTCTCTACTAAAAATACAAAAAACTTAGCCAGGCGTGGTGGCAGGTGCCTGTAATCCTAGTTATTCGGGAGGCTGAGGCACGAGAATCGCTTGAACCCAGGAGGGTTCAAAATCACAGCAAGTTGTTTTTTGTTTGTTTCTTTGTTTTGTTTTGTTTTGTTTTTTGAGACAGAGTTTCACTCTTGTTGCCCAGGCTGGAGTGCAATGGCGCCATCTTGACTCACTACAACCTCCACCTCCCGGGTTCCAGCGATTCTCCTGCCTCAGCCTCCCAAGTAGCTGGGATTACAGGCATGCGCCACCACGCCTGGCTAATTTTGTGTTTTTAGTAGAGGCTAGTCTAGAACTCCCGACCTCAGGTGATCCGCCCGCCTTGGCCTCCCAGAGTGCTGGGACTACAGGTGTGAGACACCACGCCTGGCCGGCAAATTTTTTTAATTGATAAAAAATTCATATCAAAGGCAAAGGCACTAGATCACCTAAAATGACTTCACAAAGGAATAAAGTGGGAGGAATCACTCTAATCATGTCAAGAGTTATTATATATCTACATTAACCAAGGCAGAGTAATATTCTCTGAGTATAGACACACAGATCAGTGGAACACAATAGATAACCCAGAAATTACCCTAACCAACTATAACAAAATGATTTGTGCCAAAATGCTAAAGCAAATAAATAGAAATGGGACAGTGTTTTCATCAAAGACTGCTGGGAAAACTGAACATTCATATGCAAAAAAGAAAAAGAATCTGAGACTTTATTTAAAAATTAAGTCCAATTGGATCATAGATTTAAATGTGAAATATCAATGTAAAATTACAAAATTTTAAGAAGACAGTGTAGGAAAACTGTAGTATCTAGAGCTTTGTCAGTATTTGCATACCTCATATCTGACATAAAAAACTTATATCTACAATATATAAACAACTCTCACAACTCAACCATAAAATAGTCTAATAAGAAAAGGAGCAAAAAGCACAAAGACACGATTCACTCAAGAAGATTTATGAATGGTATGTGAACACAGAAACGGATGTTCACAGCATTAGCCATTAGAGAAATAAAAAATTAAGAGCACAAATACAAATTATGAGCATCGCTACACAAAATTTGAACAGTTGAATTGTATGTAATAGTTACAACATTAAATGCAGCTGAAGATGCAGAAAATCTAGCTCTCTCATACTTTGTTAGTGCCTATAAAGAGTGGCACAGCCCTCCAAGAAGGAGCATCGGATGTTCCTTAAAAACATACATTTACATATGACCCAGCAATTGCACTTCTGGGCATTTATGCCAGAATGAGAAGAATTTATACCTGCACAAAAACCTGTGCATAATTGTTCACAGCTGTTTTTTTGTAAGAGTCCCAAACTGGAAGCAGCCAAAATTAGCCTCTCTATATAGGTGAATGGTTAAATCAATCTGTGGTATGTGCATACCATGGAATGCCACTCAAGAATAACAAACAGTACAGTTGAGTTAGATGTAACGCTTAAAAAAAACAAAACAGAAAAGCAAAGCAGTACAGATTTCTGGTAGATACAGCAATTTGCATTGATCTAAAGCAGGGGTGTCTAATCTTTTGGCTTCCTTGGGCCACATTGGAAGAATTTTCTTGGGCCACACATAAAATACACTAACACTAATGATAGATGATGAGGTGAAAAAAAAAAAAAAAAAACATGATGTTTTAAGAAAGTTTACAAATGTGTGTTGGGCCACATTCAAAGCCATCCTGGGCTGCATGCATGCCACTGGCTCTGTGTCCCTACCCAAATCTCATCTCAAATTGTAATTCCCACATGTTGGGAGAGGAGCTTGGTGGGAGGTGATTAAATCATGGGGAAGGACTTCCCCCTTGCTATTCTCATGATAATGAGTGAGTTCTCATGAAATCCAGTTGTTTGGAAGTGTGTGGCATTTACCCTTTGCTCTCTCTCTTCTGTTCTAGTGCTTTCTTCTCCTTTGCCTTCCACCATGATTGTAAGTTTCCTGAGGCCTCCCAGTCATACTTCCTGTTAATACTTGGAACTGTGAGTCAATTAAATCTCTTTTCTTTATAAATTACCCAGTCTTATACTTTATATGAGTACTTTATAGCAGCGTGAAAACAGACTAATACAGCTTATTACCCAATTTCACTCCTAAGTATACACCAAGAGAAATTAAAGTTAAGAGATGTGATACAGAAGAGAGCTTGGTTGTATGATTTCATTTACATGAAATATTCAGAATGGGCAAATCTGTAGAAACAGAAAGTAGAATAGTGATTGCCAGGAGCTGGTGGAGAAAGGACAAGAATTGGGAGTGACTGCCAAAGGATAGGGGATTTCTTTCTGGGCTGATTTTAAAAACCTGAAATTAGAGAGTAGTGACAGTTGCACAACTTTAGGAATATATTAAAAACCACTAAAGGATACATTTTAAAGTGATGCATTTTATATTTGAATCATTACTCAAGTTTAAGCAAGGTTGGGCTGGTTGGCCTAATAGTGTTTTGGAGCCTACGTAACCAAGCACCTTAGCTTCGAACTACATTTTAAAAACTGTTTTTTCTTTATCTCTTTTCCCCAGTCTCAAGAAGTAGTTTTGAGACAAACTACATATGTGTTTTCTTTCGTATTGAAATACAGCCTCCAAATCTGCTTTAAAACTCTACTCCCTTCTTTTTCTCACCTTATGCTTCCATGCCCTATGCACATTTATTTACTTGGATGCTTGTTAAGCTCACACCATGCTCACTTATCTGCTCATATATTTTCCTTAGAAGCTTCATGAGAAGAATACTGATGAGGATCAGGCAGCTCTGAAATTCTCTCCTCCTGGCGACAGATGAACTGCAAGATTGATTGCCATTAATTTATAGCCTGATTGAGCCCATGATGGCGCTGGCGCCTTCACTGGATGGAACAATAATTCAAGATCATCAGAGTGAGACATGCCATCAGGTACCTCCTAACCCCCCTTACCTCTCTGAATTCCAAACCCGCTTCTTAAATGGTGGCCCTCTCTCC